CCCCAAAACCCCAAAACCCCAAAACCCCTGAATGAGTAAAATCATATAAAAAGCTAATTAGCAATTATATAAATTTAGAGTATTTATACATATTGATTGATAATAATGGAAGTAACTGTGCAAGAGGATACAGGCAAGATTTTCAAAATTTCTAACTTGCAAGAAAAGGCTGCCATATTTGATTTGAGACGCAGAATACAGCAGGAGAAGGGATATAGGCTTGATCAGCAAATCCTCAAAATCGGCCAGCATTTTCTGTCTGATATGATGAACATATGCTAATTGCCTACAGATGAATCATTTAGATCACCCGAAATAGCTGTTAACTTTGAGGACAAATAACGGATAATAGTCTTGAGGATGTGCAAGCGAAAGTTCCTCCTGAATTTGAGGATACAAGACCCCAATAACAAATTCTCAGAGATATCAATGGAACTTTACAGTTCATGCACTGTCCACAGTCTGAAGCAAATCGTCACCGACATGACGAAAATTAAAATCTCAGAGCAGGTAATCTCAAACAGGAAGGATATTCTAGCAGATGACAAATACATATTCCACTACGTACCTTTGACTCCCTATTTGCAAGAGGAAAACAAGATTACTGACAATAACATTGATAATTTTAACACTGGTATAATTGAAGAGGAGCTTATGTAATTGAATGGAGACAATTAAAAATAGCCTGGCACCAATGTAGTGACGAGCGGAAACGGTGGCGCTTTACCCAAATTTGAACTTAGCTTAGTGGTGAAGAAGTTTAATCCTTTGAATAATAGGATATCAGTTGGATTAGATTTTACTTTTAATTCTCTGAGAAATGTGAAAAGGGTTAATTGGCAAGAAAATGCACCTTGGTTTAGGGAATCTTAGGACGGCCTTAACTGGCTTTGCTATTGCAAAAACTCTAAATGTGCTGCTCATCATTAACTAGTTGTGGTGCCGAGAGGCTTCTCGCTTTTTAAATTAAGTAAAGAATTAAGGGATAATATCGTGTGCCCAGTCTGTAAACAAAAAGATTTTGATTTAAGGAATGTTGGATTCGTGAACTGTGAATGGGCTCTGAAGGGTAAACTCTACAACAAAGATGATTCAAGGGTATTTGCAGAGGGAAAGACCTATGATGGTAAGCTATATACCTTTAAGGAAACCAACTATGGCAAGGCTTTTGAGAGTCTTGAAATAATGGTAAAAAGAGTTAAAGAGGCTATGATTGTAAATGACAGTCACGTCTATTCCGAGTCCAGCTGCAGAACTGGATCCAATTAATCAGACGTTTAGAAAAATCCAACTCTCGAAAAATTGCAGCAGAAGTAATTGAAAATTTAAGGAGAGACGAATTTGTAGATAGTACTAGATGAAAAGAAAAAAGGCTAACAATTTACAACAGTGCAAGCTAAGAAATTCAGAAGTATCCAGCAGCCAAATTAGCCCAAAGAAAATAATCCTCAGTCGAATTGGAAAAATTTTGCCAAGTGCAATGCCTGCTGTGCTGATGACATGAATTAAAACCTAGATGATCAAAAAAAGACCTAGGATGATAAAAATAATTAATAATCTTAGATTGTTGAAAATGGAGAGGAATAGAAAAAATGTGTTATATTCTGAAAGTATTAAGTATGCTTGTCAACTGGCTCACTCTATATATTTTAAATTTATGAATTAGAAGCGTCATTATTAATTTCATTACTAATTACTGGCTGTATCTATTATTCGATGATTAAGGGGTTTTGGGGTTTTGGGGTTTTGGGG